CTGCTGAGCAAGAGGAGCGAATTCCAGACCTGAGGCACCAGAGCAGGACTGAGTCGCGACCAAGGGCTGGAACAGGGATGCCCCCGCCACCTCACCTCACCGCTCTCCCCGTTCTGTTCCCTGGCCCACAGACCTGCCCTCCCCAGGGCCCTGCACCGGCTTTGTGCAAGCCTTCTACACTTCCTCTTCCCTACCTATCCCCACGTTCACCCCTCACAACACTGCCTTGGCCGTTGCAGTTCACAGACCTCGAGGAGCTGCTGGGTGTGCAGGGCAGAACCCTGCGGTAGCAGACCTGGCGCCATGGAGACACCAGTATGGAGCCCCTGTGCTGGCCTGAGGGATGAGGACCAACGTCCAGAGTGGGCCCGGCCCCAAGACTTCCAAGCTCCCTTGCCTAAATCTCACCTAATCCCTGCTCTCCACAGTGGCTTTGGGGGATTACGAAGATAAGAGCTGCCTCTTCCCAGAGGGGATAAACTGGCAATTTCAGCTCAGGAGGAAACAGCCCTCCGAGCAGGGGCAAACGCTGTTCTCCAAAACACCTAGCTCTTCCTGGGGTCCCTCCCTGAGGGACCACGGTACAGGACAAATGCTCACCAGGTTCCTTAAGGCCTGCACCACTGCCTGCCGAGTTCCTGACTCAAAGGGAACGAAAGCCTTCCCCTTCCGGGAGAAAGGGAGACAGACAAAAAGGAAGAGGCCTTCTCACATCTCAGGGCTGGGCCAGAGGGGACGCCAGCTCTTCCCACCGAGTGGACTCAGGCAGCTCCAAGAGGGCCAGGGTCCATTACCACTCAGCCAAGCCTGAGGGAGAGCTTCCTCCTTCACAGGACGGGATGCGAGAGTTCCCAGGGTGGACGTGCCTGGGCCAGGCCTCCACAAATGATGGAGCAGGAAAACGCTGGAGGCAGGGGGTGGGGAGAGCTGCCCTGCAAACCCAGGAGATGGGGACTGGGAGGGAGCGCAAAAGGGAGGGCCGCAGTTTCACCTGGGGAGCTACACAGCCTGGAACCAGGACCAGGCTTGGATGGGCAACGGCGTAGAAAAGGCTAGGGTGGGGTGGAGGGAGACAGCCGGACAGCCAGGGAGGCGTCCTTGTCTAGCCCTGTCTTAGACACCATTGGTTCCCATGGTCCACGTGGTGGTTGTCCAGACCTCTGCTGCCTTGTTCCAGGCTGCCCAAGATTCAGACCTACTCCCTGCACTCAGCCATCGCCTCATCTCTTGCTCTCTCTGCCGCGGGGTACCTAGAAGCTGCCCCCCACTCCTCTCCAGGCGAGGGAAGCATGGGCCAGAGGGTGGCAGATGCTCCCAGAGCAGGGTGCCTGCAGAGCCGCCTGCATACATCTGCCCCCGCATGTTGTGTCTGGCCAGGGGCACTGACTCCAGACTGGCGATTAAAGACAGCACAGCAGAGGAAAACGAAGCCATTCTGTAATTACATGCCACCCGGAGGAAGCGCCTGCCCGCACAGGCTGGCCCCGCGGCGAGGACACAGCCTTTTGGACCAGGCTGCTCCCCATGGCCCTTGCCTGAGCTTCTCCCACTGCAGAGGCCGTTCATCTCGGCCTCTCCAGCAGGACAGCCAGAGAGGGGTCAAATCACGGTTTTACTTGCTGTGCCTCAGACCTTCCCCAGGAGAAGTGAGAGCAAAAGCCAAAGAACCTGCCAGAGACCTTCGTCCTCTCTGCGGGAACTTCAGAACCACTGGGGGAGGCAGGTTCTGCAAGCCTTTCTCCAAGCAGGAGTTAGGTTGGGCACCCCGTTGGGCCTGGGCCTGGGCCTGGGCCTGGCACTGGTGGAGAGACTGCAGGAAGGGTCTGGGTACAGTTCCGAACACCTAAGAAATAAGTCCCCATGCAGATATGCACATTCAGAGGCTTTCTTTTTGCCTGCTGGGACCAAGAAGGGTGAAGGGAACTGCCCTGGTCCTAACTGAAACCCCACAGTAACAAGAGAGTCTTCCTGCTTCCTGAATGCTCAGAACTCACCCACCCCATGGCCAGGTCCCACCAGACATTCCTGAGCAAGGAACGGGGTCCCTGCACCAGAGGGAGGGCAGGCCCAGCATGCAAAATTAACAGATGCTTTTCAGGCAGCTTCACTTGCTCAGGCTCAGCCGAGGAGAGAGTTCTGGGCCCTCAGAGGTCTGACCAGGAGGGAGGCTGGCAGCACGCCACCAGGAGCTGCCTTGTTCTCTTATTCTTTCATCAGAGGGAGGCGCTGGCAGGGCCTGGGCTTTGGGGGCACGAAAGATGGTGAAGTGGATCTAGCTGCAGAACCACAGGGACTCTGACTGCCACTAAGCGGGACCAGCTCTGGAGCCCAGGGCCGAGCATCTGAACAGCCTAAGGAGAACCTCGAGGACCGGCACACCTGGGCTCTCCTGTGCTCACCTTGGTCAGGTTTCACAGGTGACTCAGAGCCAGAATCCGCCCACCCGTCCTGTCGGGGCTCCTCAGAGGTGCTTTGGGTACAGCAGGGCTTTCCCGCCTACTCCAGGGGGCTGGGGAGCCACAGAATCCAGGTCCCGAGGCTCCGTAGAGAGAGTACAAGTTGAGACCTTGACCTGAGGCCTTGACGACAGCAGTTAACCATTCATTAGAGCTGCTGGAGCCCTTCCCTAGTCCCCATCCTCAGCGTTCCTGGTCAGTGCTGGTGGAGAGAGGACACCAAGCTGGACTCCACACAACTTAGCCACTGTACACTCGGAGTCTGGCCAGACCCAGGGCGCTCTGGCTGTCACCAGGCAGACCGAAGCCTCAAGCAAAGCTGCTGCCTCCTCTTCCTTACGCTTCCTGGCTCGTGTACGCAGACCTGGGCGCTTTCGTCCACCACCTTCCCCACCTCCTGCAGCCACCAACGCCTGAGAGATCATCCCAGCCCTCGGGCTCCTGCCTCAGTTGCCCACGTGGTCCAGCGAGACAAGCCCCTCAGTGGCCCCGGGCTTCCACACGGGTCCTGGCGGGATGCTCCTCTGGGAGGCTCGGGCCTAGTCCTGCTCTAGGTGGCTCGGACACACGGCTACTCCCGAGACACACTGGCTTTCTGGGTCTCATTTCCAGTCTCCTTCCAAGGTCCTGGTTACCCGATGCTCCTTTGAGCTGCCTCCGGCTCTGCATTGTCTTCAGCACTTTTATGACAGCCACGAACCCCAAGATGCCCGCACAAAGCATGGAACATGGAACAAGGCATTCCTAAGAGAGATGGAAAAGCCGCGGGCATACTCACTTTGTCGGGTTTGCCCTGATGGGGCATCCATAGCTCTGTCTGCTTAAAGAGCATGGGCAGAGCCTGAGCCGCAGGCGTCAGCTACAGTGGCTTCCGACACCGCCCTCAGAGAGAGAGAAGGAGAGAGAGACTAGAGAGAAGGAGTGAGAGAAGAGGGGTGAGCACTGGAGCTGTGAGCGGGGAGCACGGCGCTGCAGAGGGTCAGGCGCAGCAGCACGGCGGAGCTTCAATCTGCTGATTAATTCAGCCTATTTCCAGTCACGCTGCAGACGCGGAGGGAGGAGGAGGAGGCAGCCGCTGCAACAGCAGTCACAAGAGGCAGGCAGGGAGGCCGGGAGGGAGGGAGGAGAGAGAGAAGCAGGGAGGAGGGGGCGGGTCAGAGGGAAGTTTGTCCAAAGCTCTGCCAGAAGTTCGGGAGCCTGGCCTCGTTCTTGGGGGAGAGGGGGAATGCGGGCTGAGCAGAGGGGTGATGTCCAGTCAGCATGTAGACAGATGGACAGAGGAACAGACGGACAGCTGGGAGGAGGAGGCGCCAGCAACCGGAGGGCACGGCGGTATCGTGGAGTACCTGATCTTCCCAGACTACCTGCCCCCAGTCACTGGGCCAGGTGCAGAGCTGCGCCATGAGAAAGCTGTCACCCACAGGAGCTCCCCCAAGTCACTCAGGGACACCCCAGGGAGCCAGCCAAAAACAACAGCTCTGTCCAGAGTTAGAGCGGCAGGAAGGAGGGGAGAGGGGACTCAGAGTTATTAATAGCAGCTCGTCTTGCGTGGAGG